CAGCCCCTTCCCAGCTCCCTCAGCAATTCTCCAGCCCCTTCCCAGCTCCCTCAGCAATTCTCCAGCCCCTTCCCAGCTCCCTCAGCAATTCTCCAGCCCCTTCCCAGCTCCCTCAGCCTCTCCTGGTGCTCCAGACCCTTCCCAGCTCCATTCCCTTCTCTGGACACGCTCCAGCCCCTCATACATCCTCTTAAGGTTTGTTGGCATTGTTTTCCCTCAAAGAAGATTTGCCAGAGTGGAGAAGACACTCTGGGCTTGTAGGAAAGTTTCCTGAACTTCACAGAGGGGGCTCAGCCTCTGGAATTCTGGAATTCTGTGGAATTCTGGAATGTCTGTGGCTGGGGAGGGTGTTGGGATCCTGCTCCGCCCCTGATGGATTTTAAAGGATGGCTCTGGCCCCAGGGACAGGGACGAGTCCATCCCTCCTGTTTATGGCGAGTGAATTTCATCCCTTTTTAACCAAACCCCCACCCTGACTCGTGTTTACCAAATCCAACCAACACTTCTCTTCCAAAGCCTTCCCATCCTTTATCTCCCGTTCCAGAGCCTCACTCCCCAGCCTGGGAAATCAGGCACGGCAGCTCCAGGTTTTGGTGCCTTTTTATCCTGCACCAGCACCCAGTGGAGGGGTTAAAAAATAAATGAAGCCTCTCCTGGGCTGGCTGGGGCTGGCCCTGGCACTGCTGCCTGCCCAGGCACATGCCTCAATGCTTCCAGAACAGCTGAAAAATGCAGGCAGGCAATAAAAAAATAATAAAATAAAAAATAAAAATAAATGGGCTCTTTGCAAGAACGAAACAATTTGTCGGGAAATGAGCTTGAGCAAAGTTGTGCCTGGATTTCGTGAGCTGGAAAAGAAGAAAACAACAGCCCTGAGAGTGATTTGTGTCCAGGCAAGGAGCGGGATGCAGGGAGAGGTGATGCTGCGGTGCTGCCGGGTGACAGCGTGGGACAGGGCAGCTGGCAGTGCTGGAGGGTGACAGGGACATAAAACAGCCCCCAAAAGAGCATCGCTGGCGCTGAGCTCCAGCCTCGAGAGCCGAGCGGAGTCTCTTGATTGTCTCCATCAAGCGCCAGGTCCGTCCCTTTGGGAGCGGCTGGCACAGGAGCGAGCTGGCACCGAGGGGTCCCGAGGGGAATGACTGAGCAGCGGAGGAGCCTGGGGGCAGCATCTGATCAGGATCTGATCTGATCTCTCCACAGCCGCTCTCCCCTCCTCAGCTGCAGCTCCCTCAGCCTTTTTTGGAACCTTTTTTGGTTCCTATTTAAGCAACATTTACGACCGACCCGCTCCTTGCCGGGATTCCTCGTTTCAATCCATATTGAATCGATATTTCCTTTTCTTTTGATCGTTCCCAAGCTCAGTACGGAGGGGACCCAAGCTCTGCCACAACTCCCGAAGCCACAAACTCTTTGAGGCACTGAGAAATGCGGTGCCCGAAGGAGCGGCTCGGGATGGAGAGAGAACACCCGTGGTGTCCCCGCTCCTGGGGCTCGGCCAGCCTGGCTGGGGACGTGCTGCCATCTCTGGTGGGGACAGTGACACGGCAGCTCCGGCCTCGGGAACAGCGGGGAGCGAGGATTTACCCTCCCGGAGCCCGCCCTGGCTGCAGCCCAAACCTTGGCTTGGCTCGCCCGGAGGCAGCAGCGGCCGCCTGGAGACTCCGAGTCTGTTCCCACAGCGGGCAGGACACCAGGAAGGGCAGAATCCCGATTAAAAGTGCTGCCCAAGCCAGAGGAGCGTGTCAAGGTCGCTGGGAAAGGTGTGGTCCCAGCCAGGGATGCTGCGGGGATGGAGAGGAGTCTTTATTGGCTCCATGATTTATTTCCTGAGATGATAAAATCATCTTGAGGCTCAGGTGGAGCCTAATTTTGCACTTCAATAAAGAACTTGATTTGGTTTGTGTCAGTTTAATCACTGATTTCCGTGGATCATGATTGCCCTGGGATTTAAACACACAAATGGTGGGGCAGGGACCTTTCCTGGACCAGGGACCTTTCCTGGGCCAGGGACCTTTCCAGGGATCTCTCCTGGATCAGGGATCTCTCCTGGATCAGAGATCTCTCCTGGGCCAGGGATCTCTCCTGGATCAGAGATCTCTCCTGGATCAGGGATCTCTCCTGGATCAGAGATCTCTCCTGGATCAGAGATCTCTCCTGGATCAGGGATCTCTCCTGGATCAGAGATCTCTCCTGGATCAGAGATCTCTCCTGGGTCAGGGATCACTCCTGGATCAGGGACCTTTCCAGGGGTCTCTCCTGGAGTGAATCCTCACAGGCACCACAGGCAGATGATGCCCTGCACACCCAGAGCTCCCCCAGCTCATGCTAACGCTGCATCCACGATCTT